TCGTGCGATGTTTGGGAGTTGGGGGGGGGGGGGGGGGGCGCTTTATAATCGCATTGGGTAGCAAAACCCATCCCTGGGGCTACAGTTCATCTTTGTCCTTTCTGCGTCTACAAGCTGTGAAGACCGGTGCCTGGTACACTGCTAATTTTCAGGAAATGTTTGTTGGAGCAACTGTAATACAAGAGACCGAGGAAGACGTGGTTCCCATTCTTAGGACAGGGGATTTTAACCAGTCAGTCAACACATCGTGAGTAAACACTAAGCTGCCATGGCAAAGGCTCCAGGGGTTCAGCAATGGATAAGACATCAAGCCTGGCCCCCTGCCTTCATGGAACGTATAGCCTAGTCCCAGACATAGAACCCCCAACAGTCATGCTCTTCCTCCAGAAATTTCCATTTAAAGCTCTGCTCACAGGTCACACGTCATCAGAAAGTCCTTTCCTGACCACCCCATTTAAATGGCCACACCTCAATCACTATCCTTTGGTCCTGATGTTTTCTAACATCTATCACCACCTGACATATTGTATAATTCATTAATATTATTTTCACTGATGGCCTTTTACCACTGGAGTGTAAACACCATGATGGCAGGGACTCTGTTTTATTCACCGCTGATTGCCCTGTGTCTACAACAGTACCTGGCACATAGTAAGCACTATTTCGAATGAATTCGTCAAATGAATGAGTGAATGACACATAACCAATCAACTAACTACCAGTCTGAAAAGCGCTTTGAACTCCAGTGTTCTAGGGGAGCGGCTAACAAAGCTATTGGCCTGAGCCCGAAGTGGGGCTAAGACTTCTCTGAGGAAGCTCATCCTGAGTAGGCATCAGTTTGGCAAAAAGCTGGAAGAAAAAGTATTCCAGACAGTGTATCCAAATGCCCTAAGGCAGGAGGGAGTACATGCATTTGAGAAGGGAGTGGTTTCCATGTGGGTGGAATGGGTGAGGGAGGGATAGTGGTGTGAAAAGAACAAAACCAACCAGCCACTTGTGGTGTTGTCAGGAAGGATGAGAGGCAGAGCCCATTTGGAGAGCCTGGGGGTACCACGGACAAAGTACAGGACGCTGTTTCTTCTTTGAAGCTTGGTGGGCAGGAGGAAAAGATGGGGGAAGGACTGAGGAATGACCTAGAGTTTCTCAGCAGAATGAGGTCAGCTGGGGGAAGACCTTGAAGAGGACTGGGGGTGGGTCAGCTGCTGCTGCGGACGGAGAGTAGGGCTGGGAGCAGCAGTGGGGTGCAGGGGGGAGGGCAAGGAAGGGGGCACAAGCATACTCACAGGGGATCGGAAGGCCCCGCGGCAACTTTTGGAAAGTCCTGCTTGAGTCCTGGAGAGGAATCCGAGGGAAAAAGGCTGATTGGACCTAGAGGCCGCTTTGGGGGGAAAGGGGTACTGTGAGGGTGTGAGAGGAGGAACTGCTGTGGAGTACAGAGACCGGGACTGGATCCGGTTGGGAAGAGGGTAGATAATGCTCCCGGCATCGGGGTAGAGATCCTGGAGGAAGGAGAGATTCTGATGTGGAGCAGTGGAAGGGGGGGTGGTCTCTGGAGGCGATCTCTGGGGAGAGAAAAGTCTGGGGCAGAGCTACGGGGAGTCAGGAAGAGATGTGCTTTCCCCCTGCTGTCCCGCTCCTCGCCCACCTCCTCAGCCCTGGGGTCCGGGGCCCCTGACTCGGGGAGCTCTGCAGTGCCGGAGGGTCCAGGGCGGGTGCGGAGAAGCGGCCCCTCAGGTCCGCCCGGTATTCGCAGTCCTGTGACGCACACTGAAGCTCCACAGAGCTAGCTACGTAAGCACGCTGCGAGGTCGGGCCCCGCCCTTCCCCGCCGTTCGTCGACCGGACGAGGAGAGCGGCTGCGCACGC